AGCCAGGTCTTCACACCTTTTCGAAAGGCTGGCAAAATTTGGGCAAAGCAGACCTTGGAGGAAGGCTGGGCAGGTGCTACCACAGAGAGCATGTCACCTGGATCACATAGTATGGCACTATCTGAGCCCATCTGGAGCCATGACTATCTTGTTGGATCTGTTGGAACAGCAAGAAATATTTTAACTATTCAGTCAATACAATCCACTATCTAAATAGTGAAATAATTAATAAGACCACCCAAAATAATATAAATGTCCAAGTTCTCTAAAAAGTTCCAAAAATGAAGAATATTAGTTCTACTCTAAGGTTTGTCTCTCGCCATGGGCAATATACGGTACGCTTTGGACTGATAGAATGCAGAAGTTAAAAGAAATACAAATTGTTATATCAAGCCTGAGGAATAATTTGGTTAATGCATACAATTAAACCACATTTTTAGCCTAGAAAACTGATTTAGGCCATTTGTAATACAGGTAATCTCGACTTATGATCACAATTGAGCCCAACATTTCTGTTGCTAAGCAAGGCAGTTGTTAAGTGATTTGTGTCTCATTTTACAACCGTTTTTGCCATAGTTAAGTGAATCACTGCAGTCATTAAGTGAATTATGTGGTCCTTAAGCGAATCTGACTTCCCCCATTGATTTTACTTGTTGGAAGCCAGCTGGGAAGGTTACAAATGGTGGTCCCCTGATCCCAGGACAGTGTAATCGTGATAAATAAATGCCAGTTGCCAAGAGCCCGAATTTTGATCACGTGACCATGAGGATACTGCAATGCTTTTATAAGCATTGCAGCATCCCCATGGTCACATGATCAAAATGTGTGAAAAACAGTCATAAATCACTTTTTGCAGTGCGTTGTAACTTCGAACATCACTAAACAAATGGTTGTAAGTTGAGGACTACCTGTATTGCCTCAATACAAACTCAGCACTCCCAGAACTTCCTTTAGTTTACATTAAAATTAAAGTTGGGATGATATTGAGGTTTTTAAATAAAAAGTAGTTCTTAGTGGTTGGGGTGAAGACTTGAAAGTGAGCAATATATTAGGCTGATTATAATGATCAGTGCCCACAAAATTAAGTTTTGCACTTTCCTTTGTCTCTCCCTTTATGTTCAGTCAACATAGAATACAGAAGGGACAATGAGCAAACACATAAGAATGCACTCATTTATAATTCAGCATTTCTTGGTGAAGAACTTTTGGTGCTTATTATCTTAGGGAAATATAGCTTTCCATATATTTTAATGTAAGCATATATCAAGAAAAGTTCAAAGGTTTTCAGCTGATCTCAAGATCACTGTATAGTGTTCCACCTATGTGGATTTCAAAAGGCAACTGTTTTGAAAAGTGCCAGAAATCCACGTGCTGATTCTGCATTTGTTTCAAGTCTTTCAAGAATTGTATATCTCTAGAATTTTAAATTACAGATGGGCAAAAAATGTTTCATATTGTTTTGGCTGTATTTTCCTACTGGGAAAGACTGAATGTACAAGCCAACAACTTTGTGTCTTGGTAACATTCAGCTTTATACTGCAAGGTATCAGAAGGCTGATGAGGAATCAGCTAATCACTTCCTTCCTATTGTGAATTCCCCAGACACACAAAATGACCTTGTTAAATTGAACTCAGAATCTCATTTCTCCCATTATAGGATGAATACACCAAATGCAAGCATTAGCACAGAGCAGTACTAATGAATATTGTTCAGTTAACTGTTATTTATTTGAAATAAATGAAACCCAGCAATAATGACTTCCTTCTGTCCCTGAGGCTGGCAGGAAATAGAGAATATACATGGATAGTTGCCAACTAATGGCAATTTATACCATGTTAACATTCTTTGTGTAAGTTATGCAAGAGGATTGTGTAAGTCCTCCTTCTCCCTGAATTCCTGATCTTAACAAATAAGTGTGATTTAGAAATTAACTCAAGCAGACTCTAACATGCTGAGTGACTATGTGAACACTACTTTAAAAAAGCTTTAAAATATCTTATTTCAGCATTCTCATATGAATTTAAGTTTATTTAGTGATAACAAATGTGAATTACCGGTATATTTCCTTCGTTAGCCTTAAGTATGCTTTCACTTTGTAAAAGTACTGTAGTTAGTCACTTCAGTGGCTTCCAAATAGCATGTGTCTTTGCTAAATTTCAGTGTTCAATTTAGGAATTCCTTTCCTTTTTTCCATTTCCATTTTATTTGCTTTCACACACATAATTTGAACTTTCCACATCATCTGCTGCTCAGTTATTTTCCTGAGGCATTAATGCATACTTCAAGATCTTTTAGTTATTGAAAATCTAAATCTTGTACAAATGAAATATCAAAAATTGAAAGTTTTCTGATCAAGTGTCAGCTCATTCAAGTGCCTTTTACCAATGTGAATGATGTGCTTGGCTTATTCTTTTTTCTACCTGGGCTTTGCATGCCAATACTCAGATGAAATATGTCTTGCCATCCAGTCTTCCTTAATAAGGTAGTCCTCCCTTAACAAGCACATCATTCAGCAACCTTTTAAATTATAACAGTGCCAAACAAAAGGACTTACAACCTATACCCAATTACAGCCACCATAGCGCCCCTGTGGTCATGTAATGAAAATTCAAGTGTTTGGCAGTCTGCCCAGTGTTATGATCGACTGCAGGGATGCTGAACTGCCTTCACCTGCCTATATCTCCCCCCATCTTAATTGGCCCAACAGCATGCTCAAAGCTGCTGCGATCCTGGAGACCCAAGCCAGCTCCCCACTCCATCATACCTGGAAGACCTTGGTTTGTTACAGTCTCCACCGCACACATATATTGCTCCACTTACCTTTGTGGTTTTCAGTAACAACAGAGGCCACAGTCAAGTTTTTGAAAGTTGCAGTTTCAATACAATCTATGGTACTTTGTAGTCACAGAAGAGAAGGAGGTACACTGGGCCTAATTTTCATTTATCCAAAAGGCCTAAAAACAACCCAGACAAGCAAATATTTCTTTGGACAGAAAAAAAGAGACATGCTTTAAGTTCCTGTAGCAAAAGAAAGAGATGTCTGCCTTCTAGTCTAATCCCTACCTTTTTATTTTGGGACAAGGTAGCTCATTTAGGTGGCATAGACTGAGTGTAGTATATGTTAGTTATCTTAGCAGCACATACAGAAAGCATACCTGGAAACTGCTAACAAAATACCTTGCTTGCATTGCTTTTTAAAATGAGTATCTGTCCTCCAGGGTGGTTCAGGGAGAAATTTCACCCGTTTTTTTTTTTATGGGACTATTTACATTTAGAGGAGGTACACTGAGTATACAGTATATTCACTTTGAGTTCCAGTGATTTATTCCTTGGAGGGATAATGGCACGATTTAGATCTCCTTTTATGTCCTGGTTCTGCATTTACACTACTATCACTGGTTAACTGAGTATCAGATGTAATAGTTGGTTATATAATCTATTTCCTAACTCTATCGTAGATTGCCAAATGATTAGTGATGGACAGATCCTAAAGAGGAAATAGGATAAATGGAAATGGAACTCTTAACATTTTCAGGATAAAGAAGATAACTGATTAGTCCATCTGAACTTTGCTATAAGCATTCTTAGCAGTGTACATATTTGTGTTTATTAATCAGAATTATTTCTATAGTGTACTTAAGCAGATTTTAAGGCCAGACAATGCTTATTCTTCCCCTTCAGAATTGATTCTGCTGGTTAATACAGTACAAGTACAGCCCTCGACTTACAACAGTTTACTTAGTGACTGTTCTAAGTTAAAATGGCACTGAAAAAAGTGACTTATGACCATTATTCACACTTAAGACCGTTGCAGCATGTCCATGGTAACGTGATTTATATTCAGATGCTTGACAACTATGCTTGACAACTATTTATATTCAGATGCTTGACAACTATGACAGTTGCAGGGTCCTGGGATCATGTGATCCCCTTTTGCAATCTTCTGACGAGCAAAGTTAATGCAGAAACCAGATTCACTTAACAACCGTGTTACTAAACTTAACAACTGCAGCGATTCACTTAACAAATGTGGCAAGAAAAGTTGTAAAATGGGGCAAAACTCACTTAACAAATTTCTCGCTTATCAACATAAATGTTGGGCTCAATTGTGGTCGTAAGTCAAGGACTACCTGCATTCGCTTATTGAAATATGTAACAAAATCTTGTTGTCTCAAAGAGTACACTTCTTATTTCATAATGACCAAAGGAATGGCTTTTTTTTTTTTTTTGCTTATCTCCCTTAACCCTTTGTTTTCAGTGATAGACATTAAATTGGACAAACCACAGGAACCACCGGCGAGTGAAGGAGGATGTTCTTGTTAATGCAAAATGCAGGATTTGTCAGCTTCATTTGACACCACGCTTGTTGTGTTGCTTCCTATTGGTTAGCTTCCTCAAAATACAAATTGAGTTATTGGTTGGGGAGGATTTCTTTTCTCTCAATACCTCTCTAGGGTGGGGAGGCTCAACACAAATCAACAGCTGGCTCTAGCCTTTTTCTTTTTTGTTTTATTTAGTTGTAATATAATGTACTTTATTAAAAATGCCAAAACAATTCAGAATTTTCCACAAGACACTTTAATCGTGTGTATACAACTTTCAGCCATGGGGAATTTTATCCTTTTTGGGGTACTTTTTTTTTTAAATTGTATATTTGTAAAAAATAAAAATCAAGTCTCCATCAACTTGAGCTAAAATTTACAAAGAAAACCCCAAGATTATACAGGCTGCCTAATTTCAAACTTTAACATATTAGCTGCATCTTGTAGTAACCTAATACTGATCAGTTCACTGAGCATTACCATTTATACACCAGAGACAGCATAGTCAATCCCGTTGCAACTGTTATAACATAATACAGGTCTCTGATTCTATAGCTATAAAGAGGAGGAAGAGCAAGCTATAAGTGAATTCTAATTAATGACAGTGGCAGTCTTTCTGCATAGTATACCCCATTTTCAAAGAGAACATCTTGGCACACTCTGTGGTGCATGTACAGCTTCCTGCATCATATTTTAATATCAGAAATGGTTTAAAGTCTTCACTTATGTCACATAGTCCAGGTGTGTGACTTTTTAAAACTTGAATGGAAGCCCTAGAACAAATGTATAATTGAATGAATATGGGAAACCAGGGACACCTCTGTCTACTTACAAGCATGATTTGTATCAGGGAACTCTGGGTTAATTTTTATTCCCTGCATAAATCACTGTAATCAGTAAGAGCACCATTAAATTTAGGTTGAAAAACATATATTTCTCCTTCCCACTCCCTAAACATCTTTATGCAATGCTTTCAATTGTTAAAGTAGATTCTTATAATGAAAACATTCAAACCAGTTGCCAAATTTCAAACTGGATTGTTAATTACTATAACGTCAAAAAAATTACCCTATAAGATCACCTGATTTTTAACCAACAGGACTATTCAAGGTGGTTTATTATTATGAGTGATAGTAATTTCTGCATGAACGAACAAAGGTTGAGAGAGAATAAATGGTCTGTCTCCATAAATTTACCTTGGCAATGACGAAGCGATAATGTATGTAATTTTGGTATACATGTGTATGCATGTCTCATAGTGACATAAAACATACATTAACACACAGAGCTGTGTAGAGGTGTATGTATACACACCCAGGCACAATATAGATGCTTGGTTTCACCCACTATTACGGTTGAGAATGCAGCCAACAATCATTGTAAAAAATTATAGTTGCTGCAGTGTGTGGGTCTAGAAAGTCTTTGTTAATTGTTGGGGAAAAGTGTGATTTGTCAATGTCTTCAATAAACGAAACTCAGATTCATGTGAAAGTAGAAAAAAAAACTACACAAAGACATATCTCCAGATGTTGTCAATCAATGTGTGATAGTCCATGTAGTCACATTCTGGATGCACTACAGAGAAAGTGAGTTTCTGAGATCTCATATAAGCTGTCACTTCAGCTAATTACAGAAAGTGTCACAGAGATTAACTACAATGTTATAACTAATGTGGGTTTTTTCATTATGAAATAGTATTTTTCTATCTCAGTTCTGTACAGCCAAAACATTTCAGTTATATGCTTTGGAAATTACTTCTGCTTACTTGTAGTCCTGCATAAGCATTTATCCATGCACAATGTAGTTTGTCTAATTGTAGCGAAATCTATTGATCATCTGTCTGGAGTTTTCTTCCCTTCTGAAATCTGTTGACTTATTAATTTCCTTGCTGATTTGTTCTGGATATTGTCATTTTTGCAAACACCTCTGTGACTTCCCTACCTCATATATTGCTTCATTCATTTACCATTAGCAGAGAGGCAGCTTATTTATCTCCACTGCTATTTTCACTTTATGGTTGTCACACTTGTTTTCTATTTTGTCTCCAGAATTAGTTATAAAAATAACATTCAGGTTTTTGACAAGAACTTTTGAGAGCTACCATATTTGATCAGCCATTCCAGGTTCCATTTTTATGAGATGAAAGGTGTGAATGGTCACTTAACTATTTTAGTGAGTGTACGTAACAGTGACTGCTACACTACAAGTCTGCAGGGCAATGAATCAGATCACACTTTTACTAGTAAGTAAGCAATCAAATACACCACAGCAAAACAACGGCCATAACGTAGTATCACTGCACTCCATTTGTGGTGAAAAATGTGAAAAATGCATTCCTTTCCAGTAAAAGAGACATGATTCCCTCCTCCTGGCATAATTATCCTAAATTTTACCCACTTTACCCTACTGCTTTTTGATTATTCTGGGTGACCAGATGCTGAGAAGCAAAATCAATCAGGTTTCCCATCCAATAACCATGTAGGCACCCTTTATGCAAACTACCAGAATGAAACGGCTGTTTCTGCAGTGCTGCTCACCATTGAAAAAAAAAGGGGGGAGACAGTAACGGCAAGACGGGATTAAGTGGTATTGCCTAATTGTTTTCAGGTGCATTCTTGCTGTAGATGTACTGGATACGACAATGCTCTTTTTGCATTTCACCATTGAAAACACAACATGTTTTAAAGTAAACAGACTATTTGAAGTGGTCCTACACACATGTAATCCCAGAAGCAGATTATCCCATCCCGTTTTCTTTCTTGGGGTATTTCATGAAAAGAGAACCTTTTTAAAGATAAAACTAAATTACCGAAAACCTGCAAACCTAGAAGCACACCTAGATGAACAAATTATTGTAAGGTTACATTATCAGATTCTTGCAAGTCTGAAAATACATTTCTTCACTGTTGCCTTTACAGCCCAAGAAACTAGGGCGGGTTCCTTCTGAGTGTTTGTTTGCCATGCCCATATTCCTCCTGTGGGCAGCTTAGCTGAACGTTCCTCTGGCTGCAACTCTTCCCCCCACCATTGCCTTATACCATTGCAAAAAGTGATTAAAAAATTAAAGCAAGGCAGGGTGGCAAATTGATAATACATGAATTTGGTAACAGAAAAGGATAACACAATTTACAGTGAGCTGAATGTTATAGAGGCCTATAGTCAGATATTTAATTCCCAATTATTACAATTCTAGAGAAAATTAAATGAAATATAGCTTATTACTGTTAACAAAGGAAAACAACTTAGATGGGCTTTCTACATGGAGATAAGCATCTACACCCAAAACAATGAGAAGAGATAATTGGGGCAAACATATAGACCATTTATTTAATGAATAAATTAAAGGTAGCACTTTTCTTCCAGCAATGAACTATTAAGAAAAGCACTTTTAACCAAAATAGAGCCTTCAAAGTATATTTAATTCTAGCTTTCAAAAGACCCCGTCGTAATCTAAGAAGCAGTAGCATCAGAGAATATTTACATGATCAGTCTCTTATTACCTATTCCAAAGAAATAGATAAATGCAAGGATTTATCGGAACGGTACCTCCCTTTGCACTGTCAGAGCAGAGAAATATAAATGCTACATTATGTTATTCCCTTTCATAGGAGATTTACTTTTAAAAAAAGAGAAAGCCCTTCCTCGGGCAAGCGCTGGAGTTAAGGTCATGTAAAACCTGGCAGTCATTGTAGCTGTAGGCATACTAGACTAAATCCAAATTGTAAACGTGAATTGACAAGCATGTAAATAAAAAAATGGCATAGCTGAGATGAATTGGATATTGTCTAAAGGTCTGAGATTTTGATGCCTTGGCAAAAGTATCTCTGTAAAGCATGAAAGTCTCATTCACATTAAATAAATCTAAGACATTGAAAAGCGTCTCCCAAAACTAAGCAAATAAGTTTTATGTTTTTAGATACCTTACTAGAAGCACAAACATAATTAATCCATAGCAAAAATTGGAGGTGATACAATTTAATATTGTATCAAAAGAAACTGAACATATTTTAAATTATGAAGAAAGTCCAGCTGCAGTATTTCCTTTTAATATCTATTAAACCTTTGCCATACAAAGATGTGAAAGAACCAATGTAGAATGTATCAGTATTAACCATCTCTAAGGAACAACTGGAAAAATCCATTTTTTTTTGTTAGTGAAAAATTATACAACCATTGTGTAATTTATTTTTCTTCTGAAAATTCACCTGAACAGAATAAGAGATAAGCATACACGACAATTTTGACATGGCATAAGGTATTTTGAAGACACCTTGGCCTCCCAAACACACAATGTATGCCTGAAGTACATGAACTGACAATTTTTTAAAAAAAGGTTGGAGTCTGCAAGACAAGGATACAAACTCATCAGAAACCACAGTCCCCCTTATAGTTCATCTGCTTCAACTATAATCTCTAGCAACAATTATACATAAGTATACACTTCCATCTTTGAAGTAGAAATGTTTGTTTTCCTTCTCCAGAAGATCAGAGATACATAAAAAACAATAAAAATATAAAAAATGGGTTATTGGATAATGTTGATATGAGGGAGGGTTTGTTTTGATTAGAAGAGATGAGGAGACTTGGTCTGGATTTTATTCTACTGCAATTGTTTATAAAATGCAGTTTTGCATGTAGAGGGGCCTCCAATACCTATAAAGAATACTCTGTCTTGCTGAAATTCCAGATGTATCTAAGTCTATTCATAATTTATAATTTACCATAGAGGAGAAATTCCAGACTGCTTCCTCACCTCAATGGCTAGATCATAATATCTCAGTCTTTATAATTTGAAGGCAAACATGTCTTAAAAGTGTCTCTCAAAACTATACATCTAATACTTAAAACAATTATTGCAGACAAACTCAAGTGCCGTTGTATTGGTTCACCCTCAAAGCAGTACTCCAATTGTCCCTTAGTTTTGTTTCAATGTGAGGCGTTCCCCACTTGTTCTGGTTTCACACAATGATTCATGAAGCACAAAAGTGGTTCAACATGTATTTCAAATGTCTTCTGAATGGAATTAGCACTAATTCTCACCATGCCACATGACTTTAAGAGGACAAGAAAGGGGCTGGCAATAATTATTTATTTTCATAAAGAAGCATAGAGAAATATTTTTATACATTTAGAATCTTCCCCCAAAGAAGATTGCCTTAGCAAAAGTCAATT